AAAAAAAAAACCTATTTCATGTTGCACCCGTCCAAAAACCTCATTGTTCCAAAGCCTTAAAGTCATCTTTAAAGTGCGAAGTTTAAGCCCAAGACAAACCATAGGAGATCTAGTAACTTTTTTCTCCCAAATTTGTTTCACAAAAGGCAGGAAATTCTTATGAGAACACCACATACGTAAAAATCAAAAAGGTCGAGGATCCTGTAGATTCGTAGTATCTCTGTAGCATAAAATCATCGAGAAATGATCTGAGGAGGTCTGATCCAAATAAGACAGCGAAAATGATGAAAATTGATTTTTAAGATCTTGATCCACCAAGATACGATCTAAACGTGCCCATATTCGACTAGTTCTTTGCCTTCCATTACACCATGATAGTTTCGGTCCATCAAAAGGTATATCAATCAAACCCATATCATGAATAAAGTCATTAAAATCCTGTTTAGCCATCGAAGTTGAGTACAAACTGCCCACTTTCTCATCATTGGATCGAACTGTATTAAAATCACCTCCTATTAACCACGCAGAACGTCTACTGTCTAACTATTTTAACTGTTCCCACAATTCTTTTCTACGCCTTTGACAACAACTAGCATAGACAAAAAAAGCAAGCACCTGAACATTTCTAAAACCAAACCATCCTGATATCATTTGATTCGATGAACTAATCAGCGAAAAAGAAAGATCATTATCCCGTAATATCCAAATTTTTCCCCCTTTCGTATAATTAGAAGCATAATGCAGAAATCTCAAACGTTTAGCCCAACATACAATGTTATCAACCGACACAAAAGGCTCCATTAAAACTAAAATATAAGGATTGTATTGTTTTCTCAAAGCCAACAACCTGTTCGTGGATGATACCACACCCCTTAGATTCCATATAAGGATATTCATCATCAATAAGATTTTTTGGATCTCGTGATGATTCCTAGAGTCACCATTTTTCGATTATTTCCTATGACTCGTTCTAGAGGGCCTGACATATTGTGGTCAGTGTTATAATTAAGAACTTCTAATTCAGGTAGTTCATTATCATACTCACCCTCAGATGCGATCTGTGTTTCCAATTCATGTCCCTCAATCTGTAAGAATTTCCCAACTGCTGATCAATATGTGGAAGAGCTTCTTCTCTTATCAATAGGTCGGCAATACTTTCCATGACATTCATAACCAGAACTTCTTGAACAACGTCAGCAGCTTTCCTTAAGATAGATTGCTCAAGTATAGAGTCCTTAGAGACCAAGTTTTTCTCCATATTTTCTTTGAAGTCCAAATCCCCATCATTTCCACTGGTTTCACCCTCAATTCTATTGGTTTCTTCAATATTCTCCACCGAACTATCATTTGTTGCTACCGTTTATTCTGATAGCTGCTATCCATCTCCTTTAGTTCTCGACCATGCACAACTTCTACTTTCGTCGCAACTCTTCCATCATTTCTTACAAACAGGGTCCAGGCTGAAGGGATCAATATATCACGCTACAGAATTCTATTCATTTTCTCTTCATTTATGGTACCCCATTTCTCAATCTGGTCCCGTTTTTCTGATGCTAATCTACGCTTCTCTTCCTTTCTCCTCCACACATTTTTTTGTTATGTAGGATTAGTTACAGGATGCTTGGCAGCTCCACCCTTCTCATTTTTACATGAAACCTCCAGGTGACCCTATATCCTACATCTGTGGTAGAACCTTGGGAACTTTTCATAAACAATTTCTTGACATCTACTAGATAGATGATAAGGGACAACCAACTAGAAGGAGGTTATCGAAGGTTTAGAGATGTCAATCTAGACACAAACATGAGCCCCACATGTACGAGAAGCGCATGCCATAAAGTTATCCTTGTTTAAGAACTGGCCAAAAGCTCCTGTGATAATAAGCAGCATAGATTCTTGATAAAAATGGGGGGGGTAACCAGGAAGAAATACCCAAATAGGAACCAAAGAATATTCTTGATCTTTATCAAAATCCTGAGACCAAATGAATAGTTTATACAAGGCACCATCTATGTTCGAAGATTTACGTGCACACGCAATACCGAAATCCTCCTCTATAGTGAAACAAATGAATACGTTACGTGGTCTTTGCATTGTACTGCCCGAGAAGAAACCCTTGATTCCCTAGCGAGATTTGATAAATAAGATCCAACGTGGGTCTTCTCTTCAAGAACTTTAACACGACGGAAAACCGAAAAGGCGACGCCGCTTGCTCGAATTCAGTCTTGGAAAAGTAAAACCACAACGATCCTTCATTCTCATTCGGCTATCTAATCTCAATCTTTACTTTCGGGATAGGCTGAGGCCGGGCCTGCACCATAGAGGCGTACGTAGCAGTCCTCCCATCTCCTGGACTGGTGGTCGAGGAGGGGTCGCTTCCTGCTATGTTTGCATAAACCCTAGAGAACTTGCATTAAAAAAAACCCTAGCTCGTGAGAGAGAATGTTTATGAAAAAAAAAAGATTTGACATGCAAGATTGCAAACATCTTACATTACCTTTAACCAATTATTTTGTATTTTCTAAAGATCGGGCTCCTTGTAATGAAAAAGAAATAGAATACATGAGTAGGATTCCATACTCTAATGTGATTTAATATATTGCTACTACTGAAACAATTAATGAGGCTTTGTGGCTTAGAGGTTTGCTTCATGAATTTTGCATTTTAAATAACTATATGGTAGTATATTCTGATAGTCAATCTTCTATATATCTATGCAAAAATCCTATTTCCCACGAACGCACAAACCATATTGATGTTAGACTAAATTTCATTATAGATATTGTGTTACGAGAAGTGGTAAGACTTTAAAAGGTCCATACACAATATAATACCTTGAATGTGGGTACTAAAGTGATACCATTGGTGAAGTTTTAGAAGTTGCAAAGATCTTCTAAACATCGATAAAGGTATTTAATTTCCATTTTTATTGATTTTCCATTTTTGGAATTCTCACAAATGGGTGATAATGTTTTCTTGCAGATCCTTTGACACCAAAGTAGAGGTTTGTTGAGCAAATTATTGTCAGGCTACCTCTCGAGTTATGATGTAACTCGATATAGTTTTCAATCGGCAACGACCAAATGACTGAGCTAAAAATCAACACCTTAATGAAATGATTCGACCTAAAACTATTTGGGCCATTGGAAGTAGCCTAATTTATTTAGTGCTACTCATGGTCCACTTCTCTACCTCTTAGACGGCTTTTAGGTGATGCCCACTTAGAGCAATATTTAACCTACTTTCCTGAATTGGGCTTGGCCCATTATTATGCCCTAATGACTTTTACCCTAATGGTCAAATATATATGTTGCTCTCCCGTTGCTTTTACCGCGTGCTAGTGTGTTATATGCTTCTTCCCTTCAAGAGAAAACAACGGTTGCCTTCTCTGTGATTTCGAGCCTTTCACTTTTCTCCTCCCTTCTTTGCTTTCATGGCTGCTAAACATACTACCATCTTATGTTCTTTGTAGGCAAAACTAAACAACCGTAGTAGAGATGCATTGAAAGTTTTGGATCGGTTCTTCATAGTGGTGTTGATTGATTTGGGCATTTACTGAGCCCGGAAATTGCCTTGGTGATCTCCCATTCCGCATCACAGTGACAAAATGATGAAGTTTAACGTTAAATTGAATTTCAACGAGACAAATTAAAGTTCAGTGACTCAATTGAAATTTCGCTAAAAATTCAGTACGTTTGATTGTAAAGGTGGAAAATTAGTGGAAAGAAAATGTTTTACAGAGAATTAATTTGCCTAGATGGATCAAATTTCCCGTTTATCAGTCAAATTTTTTTATATGTGTGGTCGACTCACTTTTGACAAAACTACCAGACGCAACAGTCGGGTGGTCGATCCAGTTTGATACCATTAGCTAAGCAACGGAGTGGAGTGGGCATATGAAGTGATATTACCTCAAAACCCATCTTTTGATACAGTCGTTGAGCAGGGATGTTATGACTATGCACATGAACAAACACTTGCTCTGCACCTGCTCCAAAATATCAGATCTTCACCAGCATTTGGGTAATTCTTAACAATTAAAGAAGCCTAATTTTACCTTGTTGTTTTGCAGACATGATAGCAAGTTGCAACATGCTGCTTGCAATACCCTGTCCACGTGCTGATTTTGCTACGCACAAGTTTGCTATGTAACCATATATGCTCGAGCCTTTTCGATCAATCAGACAGAAAAAAGGAGCTTTTACCTGTTCCTGTTAAACTGGGCGTTTGAGAATCATTAACAGAATTCAGATTCTAAGTTAACATGCACTCATTTCGTACCTCTGGAAATGTCTGCCCATGTGACAAGTATCTGATGCTTAAGTCGAGTGTTCCAACGACACACTTTAGTACGGTCCGTTTGAAATTTTCTTCTCCTTTCATTACCTGATAATTTTGATAAAAAATTACTTGTAAACTGCAGGAACTGATTTTTATGATGAGTTACAAGAGCTAATAGCTTAGTAATAGTACCGTTACAATGCAAGTGGATTTCTCTCCTAGTTGTGATCTGCATCTCTTTTTCATTTCATTGAAAGCCTGCATAGTCAAAGAATTATGATCAATGCATATTGACCGATTCGAATAAATGGTATTTGTCCCTTACCTGTTCTGTAAATTTCCTTTTGTAGTTGTCGGCATATCTGCATTGTTACGTTTTGAGTGGCAATCATCAATCATTTTTTCTTCTATGGACGAACTATTAATATTACACACAGAATTTTAGATTCTTCTTCTGTTTTAATATTGTTTATTTAGCATTATATGAGAAATTTTACTAAACATGGTAATACCAAGTTTTTTAATCATGGAAGACAGGTGCATACCTGTCATTGTCCTTATCCTCCCAATGACTCTCTGCCCGTAGCCATGCTGCTGTCTACACAAAGCTACGACTGGATTAATTAATGAGTTAAACTGAATCAAAGCCATATGAAATTGATGGCTTGCAGGAATTTATACAGGAAAGTGCATCTAACCCAATATTCTTCATCAAGTCGAGCCTCACGTGCCACAAACTGCCCAAACTCGACTCTGTTTTCACGAATGGCTACTTCATCTATTGGCTGCAGTGTGTCAAATTTGAAGTTTATCTGCCTAAATGTTTCAACATGAGGAGTCGAAAGTTTCTGAATTTCTTTTGATAATTCTTTTTTCGTCCTTGATGGGATAGAGTTAGCATTCATCCTGCCAGTTCAAAGAAAGTTAGCTCATTCTTCATTCAGATGGTCTTAGTAGTACTTCGACTTATTCTTTAGACATTGGTAAACCATGGAAATTTGGTCGGAATTGAATTCGAATAATGTATTTTTCCAGAATAAATTCACCAGAATAATACAGGATTCGTCCCCATGCTCTAACGCATCTTTCACTTTAGGTTTAATCGTTGAGACTTGAGAGATGGAATTTCCACAATGAATGAAAAATATCTCTAATATTATGCAACTGATATGAAAAATTAAAGTAGTCATTCTTTACTCAGACCTTTAGCAAGATCAATCCGGATCAACTTGTTACCTTACTGCAGTAATACACATGAAATGAATTCAACGGACTTACACTGTGGAAGAGGAAGGATTTCTCTGAAAATTACTGTAAACTCGGTATCCATAGCCATAGCTTGATGTTCTTGAGAAAGTCGACATCTGCAAATTCAATGATACCGGTATTTGTGGTTTGCCTTCTTGAGAAATACGCTGAATTTCTTTTGTGTTTGCCTCTTACAACAATCTAAAATGTCCAAAAGAGATATGGCAAATGATGCTAAAAATGCTATCCTAACAGCTGTATGAAAGATGGAACTCAAGATGAAATCGTGTGGACCATAAAATCGAGTGTTGTGTATCTCAAGTATTTATTACTACGTCAGCATGTTTGTGGAAGTTAAAGAAAGAAAAACATGTGGTTATTGGTTGGCATTAATATGAGTAGAAATGATCTCCTATCAATGGTGGGTACGATAAAGCATGGTTGCCACGTCAGCGTTCAAGCCTACAATTTTTGACAATTCAGCGTAGGCCACATAGCGGTGGGCAAGATAACTCCTACCCACCATGGATAGGAGATCATTCTGTTAATATGAGACAGTGGTCTTGTTGAAGAAATTGTAGGTATTTTAAAATTAGAGATGACAACGGACCGGTAGAGCCTTTCGCTTTCCTGCTTGCAAGTGGGAGGGGCAGAGATTCCCTTATTCCCTGTCACAATTCTTCATTCTAATTAATTTAAGTTCGAGTTGCATCTAGATGAAGTGGTTAGCTTATTACTAGATCATGATAAAATATATTGGTTTAAATCTTATAGCCACCTAGTTATAAAATTTTGAACCTCTTGTACACATAAAGGGCAAGAAGATAAATGTGATGCCTAATGTCTGGTAACTAATTGTTAACTTAATTTACAAGTTACTACATACATACAATGTGGCCTATACTCCACATTATTCACACGTTTGGAGACTCAAATTCTCAAGTTTTTCACATAAACACTAATAATTTGTAAATAGGGGTCAACTTGTCACGACATCTCTCACTTAAATTTGTTTGGTATAAGGCAAACTAATCAAACTTCTTTTTTTTCTTTTATAGTTAAGTTTAATCTACATAATTCTGACGTCAACAAGAACGATGTTGTACGTGCCCCTCAATCTTGGCTTTACGAGCATAAAATTCAGATATTGAAGTTTAAATTTATAACCCATGCAGGGTGTGACCACAACTTGGACCTGTCATTTCTGGAATGCTAAAAGGAGCATTGGTTTGGTGTGAAAAAACATTAGAGGCTAAAAGCCAATGGCTTATCGTTTTCAAATTGAAACATGTGGATATCGGACCAACTACTTGTCCATACCTTCCATTAAGGACCACAAACACAAGATTGACAAAATCTAATAATATACTAAAAGATGAAGTCCAAGATCAAGATCCAAGGTCTTTAATTATGTAATTTTAATTTAATTGGGATATTAGTTCTTTAATTATGTCATTTTTAACCATGAAGACAATTTTAATTAGGTTTGCCGCAGCCTTTAGGTTTTTTGGTCTAAAATTTAATAAATTGTGTTTTTCTCCAATTTCCCGATTGAAATCTGTCGTATATTATATGTTTATTAGTGAATAACCATTATATCATTGTAGTCCTAGTTATTATAACTATTGTATGCCTTGCAATCCTAATTTTTCTATATACATATAAGACTTTGGTTGTAATAAAATACACACAAGTTTACAGACTTCTTTATTTTATTCTTTTTTTCTCTCTAATTTATAACACGTTATTAGCGCCATAACTTAATTTTTTAAAAATAATTCAAAGTCTAGTATTCTCTTGGAAGAAAAAGAAGGAGACATTGATTCATCTATATTCCAAAAGAAAGTCCAACTTCAGTTACAATCTGCATCAAAATCAAAGTCAGTTCATTCGAAGATTTCGGATGAATTGTCAAGATACATGTTTAGTTGATAGTCCAACTACGCGCACTATTATTCAAGAAAAAGTATTTTTCGGACTTAACTTTAGTAGAAAACGATGTTAATAGGATATCAGGTGCATCGAATATGATCATCGAAGGCTCCGGAAGAGTTAGTGTTATTTTATAAAATATATATTGATGATGCACTTTGTTGAATAAATAAATACAAAGGAGTGAGCGAGCGAGGGAGCTCATGTCCCTTTATGCGAGTTAGAAAATACGCGAGCATACGAAGATAAAAATGAATATTTATGAAACACGAGCTCACAGCCAAGGGTGGTGCACCGTTCTCATAATATACCACATTGGCAAAAATTCGTTATCAAGGCACAAGTGGGTAAATATTTACTACATGACTTCAAAATCAATGAATGTAGAACGTGTAAGTTGGTGAATAGAACGTTAACTCGTGATAGAATTAGTTAAGAATCCACCATTGAATGATCACCATTTGTCATTTACTGTAGAGGCCTAAATACCACCCCCCCCCCCCCCCCCCCCCCCCCCCCCCCCCCCACCAAAGAAAAAACCCAAAAAGAAATCTATAAATGGGTCTCGCCTGAAAGAAGAGAGGCATGCAAATTTGAATGTTTCTCTCCCAAATAGCCTTTTCACCTTTCGCTCCTTACTAAGAAGAATAAAGAGGAGAGAAGGAGGAAGTCTAGGTTAGGTGAGAGGAATTTATTGATCATAAATCTGTGGTCAACAAATTGGCGTCGTCCATGAAAAATCAGTGCAAAGGTAACCATGAATTCATCAACTGAAGTAGAAAAATCACTGGAATCCGCAACAAGATGAGTTAAGCTGAGGCAAATTAGGAAGAAGTGAAGGTGCTAGAAATCAGATTTGAGGAACACAGTGATGATCAAGTTAACATCGACATGAATTCGAAACGACTACGGGAAAAGACTCCAGTGAAGTTGCAAGTCTTTTTCTCTCTCAATCAACATCATCGTCAACGGAAGAAATTGTCTACGGTAAAAACCATATAGGAGATGACAGAAAGCCTCAAGCATTGACTGTGGAAAATTCTTCTCTACGAGTGAAGTAGAAAATCCAAAGATAAATCTACAAGTAGAATATAGTCAAAATAATGTAGAGCCTATAACAAGCTTTTTCATGAAAATAGCATAAACATTCAGGTATCGAGAACCTATGATAGTGTAACTAATAATAGAGATCATCGAATAAATAGTTCTACTGCATTTGATAGACTCGAGGAGGAGATCAATTCACATGACAGAATGTACAACCAATGTTGTCTCCGTGAAGGTAGAAAAGCAAAAACTTTGATCAAGTCTTCATATTCTACTTTTCTACATGATGGATATAAAGATTGTCCCGCAAGATTATACGAGCTAGACAAGGATGAAGAAAGTCTACCGTTCTCGAAAAAAATCAAGGAAGTTTCATTTTCGGATAATTTTATCCGTCCCATCATAGAGAAGTATATTGGAAAGGTGTAATAGCCCGAACTTTACGTTACATATTTGGTCAACATGATTCGTGCATCCTATTTACAATGTCATTTGCATCCATTCCCCCAATTGATTTCTTTTAAAAAATGGTATATGTGATTATTGAGAGCATACGATCTTTACATGGTGTTAGCCTTTGACTCCTCGACCTAGGTGATAAATTCTACATTGAGCAATGATAGAGAAGCTAGGTTAATCTAGATGTGGAAGATTGACTTGTTACGCAATTGGAACCTTGAAAGGGCAGAATTAGTATCGATAACGGTTATAGTTTTCCATTCAGTTGATCAATGTCACCATAAACTCTAAATGAGTAATTGACATATTTAGGACATGAAGCATGAAGTAACATGATCACTACATAGTAATATGGGTTTTATATGACGTTATAAATGTTGAGGTGCGAATTGTTGAAATCGGCCGATAATCGAGTGTCGATCGGGTAAGTAATTAAATGAACAGTTCAGGAAGTGATGCTATAAAATATTTTGGGATCTTAGGAAAAGTAAATTGGATTTTAAACACATTAAAATAAGCCAAGAATAATTTATTTTTACCTGCAATGATGTGTACAAAATTAGATTGTAACTCCAAGAAACCACCTCATGCTTAGTCACCTCCTACTTGTTGATTTATCCTCGTAATGGTAGATTCCTTCACCCTTAAGCATTAGAAACGTCTACCACTTCTTTAAGACTTCAAATATGTGTTATATATTATCTTTAAATCTCATAAAAACCATTCAAGGATTGGTACAAGATTAGAATGTAACTGAAAGAAGACACATCCTACTTAGCATGTGATGATTTGTCAAGTTAACCTCAAATTCCTTCAACCTTAAGGCTTCTATCAGTCCTCTAAAACTTTTTCACCTTATATTGGATAGGCATATGTTTTATTAGTCACATAAGGATCCAAATATGGGAAAGGAAGAGTCAAGTATGGCTGCAAGAAACCACCTCATGCTTGGACACCTCATGCTTGGAAGACACTTGTCATTTAACTACCAATTTCTTCATGCTTAAGTATCCAGCACGACCCCAACCCTTTAGGACTCTATAAATACCCCATATTAAGGTATTTTATCTCTTCAAGTTATCCCCAAATGAACCCAAGTGAAAGGGAAAGCAAAAGAGCTAAAGAGAAGTTGAAAAACAGAAAGCTGGAATTCTGGACAGCTAAAGTTGTTCACTGTTTTGAGGTTTGTCTTTATTATTTTTGAAGGTTTTATAGTCTCTTAAACCTATGGACTTCTTTAAGATCATGTTGGGGGTGTTTTGATGATTTAATAATGACAAAACCGGGGTAATTGGTTGCAAGAACCTGAGCTAACTCAATAAGGACAGAAAGTTATTGTTGCTGGATTTTAGTTATATAACTTTTAATCTTATGTTACACCTTGAAAGGACTGTATGTGTATCACTTTGAATGTTCTTATATAAGAGTTATAAGTATAGAAATGATCTCTAATATGTTGGAATCCAATTTTTGAAAGTCTTGTTCAAGTGAAACTCAAAACAATCATGAGAAAAAAATGTTAGATTTGGTGGTTGTAAAAATGAATGCCTTGAAAGCTGTAAATCCTTCATTTGTGACTAATCTATGGCATGATTACCTTTACCTATGTGTTATAGAAGTGTGGTAAAAATTTGGGAATTTTTTGGATAATGTTAAGGGGGTGAAAAAGGATTGGAAA